TGTGACAGCACTAGAGCAGCGAAACCAAGAGTTGCAGGTTGAGCTACTCAGCCTCAAACAGTCCCAACTGTCTGCCCCCCGCCCTCCTAACCCTCGACCCGCTGCAGTCCCAGTCTCTCAATCTAACACAGTCCTCGTGGCAAGAGCAAGTGGAACTGTGACGAGCGCAGGAACCGGTGCCAGCTCCTCGAGCAGCAGCGCCGGCAGCTCTGCACTAGTCATAGTCCCAAATGCAGGGACATCAGCCCAAAACGCCACAGTCCTTACTGGCGTTCAATACAGCGGTCCCGTAGTGGACAAGCGGGCGGCCACCTTGCCGTCCAAGTACGGCGGGAAAGCGGATATCACCTCTTGGATTAGTTTCATGTGGTTATACTTCGAGGTCATGCGGACACCGCAGGAAGACCGAAGCATGATCATGGGCACTAATACTGAGCCCGCCCTACGGAATCACATTGAACTCCAAGCTGTTGCTGCAGGTTATGAAAGAATTGACCTGACTGAGTGGCTGAAGGTAACCCCTGTACGCGCCCTCGAGGACCTTCTCATCACACGGTACCAGGATAAGCATGCTGCGCTCAAGGCTAGGCTGAAGCTTGAGGCCCTCAAGGGCCAAACATGGAGGTCCTCCATGCAGGCTTTGGAACAACACTTGACTGGTCTGTTCACCACTCTAGATCTGGGAATGACCGACGTGTCTTGTATGGATGTAGTCATGGGAGTGGCCCCTAAAGAATACCTGTCCCTGTTAGCACTCAAAGACCATACCTCCTGGCGAGAGCTCATGACGGATCTAGTCAACCTAGAGGCCAAGGACCTCGCCAGGCGGAAGAAGGCGCCCGCTGCAGGCTGAAAACCACAACGCAAGCGGTATGGAAGCAGCAACCAGCTTGCACTGCACGAACATCGGGAGGCTGAAGATCAGTCCTACGCGGATGATCTGTCTCTAGATGATGATCTAGAGATGGGTTGTTCCACATCAGCCATTGAGTCTGACGTAAACGAAGACGAAAAACTTAATGCTTTTACAAAGACTGCTTCAAACAAGGGGCCTAACTGTGGTTCGTGTAAGGGAACTATTATCCACCTCCCCAAGAATGTGAAGATCCCTGAGAAACCGGAGGATGCGTCTACCAAGCCTTGGGAAACCCTCTGTATCAGTCAAAAGGAATGGGAAAGAAGATCTGAACTGCGCATATGCTTGCATTGTCAAAAGCCTGGGCATGTTGTGCATGACTATTATAGACTTGAGGGAAACAAGCAAAGGGCGTAGAGGAGTCATCAACACTCCCTACAGCAAGGGAAGCTGGAACATCAGTTGCAGGCCCCTCTAATGAGCCTGAATCTGATCAACAGCCTACTCTTGAAGCCATGAACGATGCTGATTCCAAGGCTGCTGCAGTTCATGTGCTATACACTGAGCCTTGGGTAGAGTCTAAGGAAGTTGACTTCCACGCTCGCCGATACATCCACGTGCAGATTGATAGTGGTTCAACCACTAATTTCTTTTCTCCTAACGGGATTCGTAAGGCGGGCCTGGGAATGAAGCAAGCGGAACTGCAGAACCCTTGTTAGACCCAGGTGGGCAACCAAGAGGTTGTAACCTCTACACATGTTGTCAAAGGTGTGCGCGTCATCTTTGACAAGGATCGCACTGTCATACATGAGCTCAACTTCTATGTCATGGACAAGTGTCCGTTCGACGCGGTCATTGGTTTGGGCTGGTTAAAGGCTCATTGCCTAAGGACCACGTGGGCGGACAGTCAGTTCGTGGTGCGTGATGCCAAGGGGAACGAGCGTACCGTCTTATTGGATGAGACGCGCGAGTCCCCTGTGACTCTTCTAAGTGCAAACAAATTCTGCAAATTAGTGCGCCGACGCAAGGAGGTTGAGCATGTACATATAGCCTTTGTAAAGCCTCTCCATGTGCCTTCTACTTTTGCTGCATTTTCTACCTCGGTAAGTACCTCTACTTCTACCACCTCTACTTCTAATCCATCTACTTCTATTGTGAATAATCCCTCTACTTCCAATCCAAGTACCGCAAATCCGGTTGTAAATTCTCAAACTGATTTCCTTTCTCCTGATGAGGACGATCCTCCACCGGAAGTCCCAACAAACATACGCCAGCTATTAGACCGATTTCCTGAAGTTTTGGTCGAACCTCATGGAGTTCCCGAGCGTCCGGTAAAACACAAAATCGAGATAATAGAAGGGAGTGTTCCTCCAAAGGGCTGCGTTTACCGTATGGGACAAGGCGAGTTGGAGGAGTTGAGGAGGCAGATTGATGACATGATCGATCGTGGATGGATTAGGCCTGGTGAGTCTGAGTTCGGTGCAACTGTCCTGTTTGTGCTGAAGAAAGGAGGCAAACTCCGGATGTGCATTGACTATCGTGGCCTAAACCGGATCACCCGGAAGAACGCGTATCCCTTGCCTCGTATAGATGATCTGCTAGATGCTGCAGGTGGGTGCAAGGTCTTTTCCAAGATTGACCTCAAATCTGGCTACCACCAGATTGAAGTTGATCCGAGTGACCAGCACAAGACTGCATTCAAGACACGCGATGGGCTGTACGAATTCATCGTTATGCCCTTCGGTCTTACGAATGCACCAGCCACGTTTCAGAGCCTCATGGACAAAGTACTCTGCCATCAGCTCAACAGGTTTGTGGTTGTGTACCTTGATGATATTCTGATTTTCAGCAAGTCCATGGAAGAGCACCTCAAGCACCTTGAGGAGGTCTTGCAAGTCCTCAAGGAGGCACAACTGCACCTCAACTTAGAGAAATCTGAGTTCGGAAGGGACAGCGTCATCTATCTTGGACACCGGTTGTCTGCAAACGGCCTTGAGCCGGAGGCAACCAAGGTGGAGGTCATACGAAATTGGCCTGAACCAGCAAACGTACGCGAACTGCGTTCTTTTCTTGGTTTGGCTTCGTACTACCGAAAGTTTGTGCCAATTTTTTTTGTCATTGCTCACCCACTCTCAAGGCTAACCAGTAAGAATGTTGTCTATGCGTGGTGTGAGAAGTGTGAGACTGCGTTCCAAGCCTTAAAAGAGGCATTGGTGAGTCATCCTGTGCCCCGCATTGCGGATCCCAACCTCACGTTCGTAGTCACTACGGACGCGAGCCAGTTTGGGATTGGTGCAGTGCTGCAACAAGATGATGGTGATGGCCTGCGTCTGCTCGAGTATTACAACAAACGCATGCCCAGCCATAAGGTAGCCACTTCCAGATACATGTGTGATCTCTACGCCTTGCGCAAGGCGCTCACACATTGGAAGCACTACCTCTTGGGTCGGCACTTCAAGGTCTGCTCAGATCATCAGACCTTGCAGTGGATTAAGACACAAACTGATCTCTCTCCTACGCTAACCCGCTGGTTGCATGACATTGATGTGTACAATTTTGAATTGAAACATAAGAAAGGCTGTTATAATCGCATTGCTGATGCTTTGTCGCGTCACCCTGAGTTTTTGACTTGCCTTGTGGGTTCGTATGACCTCCGAAGGAAACTGAAGGAGGATCTGGTTGAACACACCGCCAAGGATCCGGACCTTAGTCCCATCCTTGAGCAGCTCAAGGCTGACCCTAACAGTCAGCCTGATTTTCATGAGTGCGAGGGTCTTGTATTCCGCCGGTATGGGAAGTTTGATCGTTTGTGTGTACCCAACCATGCGCCTCTCCGAACTCATTTCTTGGATTTGGTACATGGTCGGAGTGGACACTTCGGCTTTGACAAGACTTATGGAAGCCTTCTGCAACAGTTTGATTGGCCAGGAATGAAAGGATCCGCTCAGAAATTTATTGTTGAATGTCAGGTATGCCAAAGAACCAAAGTCCACAGGCATAAGCCTTATGGTCTGTTGAGACCCCTCCCCATTCCGGATGGACCCGGTGAGTCGATTTCCATCGTCACGGACATGGGAAAGGTGAGTGAGGCTGGAAATTCACAAGTCATGGTCATCGTGGACCGTTTTTCCAAATTTCTGAACATGATTCCTTTCCCTCCCCATGCCCCGACTGAACTTGTCATTGAAGAATTCCATCAGCAGTACACTCTGCAGTTTGGCGTCCCGAAAACTATTGTGAGTGATCGGGACACCAGATTCATTAGCAAAGATTGGAAGGACTTCACCTCTCAGATCTATGACATTAAACTGAACAAGACTTTTGGTCGACACCCCGAAGCCAATGGACTGGCTGAGGAGATCAACCAGACTATCATCCAACTACTCGCGCATTGATTGTTCCAGATCAGAACACGTGGGACAAGGATTTGCACAAAGTGAAGGGACTGTACAACAACTTCATTCACTCTGCAACTGGTGTGACACCAAACCAGTTGCAATATGGATGGCCGATGCGTAATCCCCTCTCCTATCTGTTCCCCGAACGGTCACCTGGTCTGATGCCCGGCATGCCTGGCTACAATGCCAAGTACGCACGCTTGCTGAAAGCAGTTATTGCAGCCATGAACAAGCGCCCGCATGCCATGATCAAACATGCCAACAAGTTGCGCAGAGAAGAAAAATTCAAAGTAGGGGATATGTTTGGTTCAAAATGTCTGAGTTTTCTGATGAAGAGGGCGTATCACGGAAGCTTCTTCCATTGTACTATGGCCCTTGGCAGATTCTGAAGGTGATTGGGGATGATTTTGGTCTTTCATTTGTGACTGGTGTGCCTCCTCATCTGCGCACGTATCCGGTCTTTCATGCATCCAAACTGTTTCCACACATTGATGATGAGACTTTTCCCTTCCGAGACCCTATGATACCTCGCTCTATCGACGGCGGCCATGAGATAGACAGAATCGGTTTTCACGAGGGAAGAGGGAGGAACAGACAGTACAAGGTTCACTTCCTCTATCACCCGTTGACTGAATTCTTATGGATCGACCGAAAAGAGTTGCTTAAGAATGTTCCCCGTGTTGTGAACGCTTATGAACGACAGATCGTTGAGGGACAGACTGCTAAATTTGTTGCAACCACGACTCCTCATGGACTTACTAAGTCTCTCCTTCTGATTTACTCTTATGATGCATTTTGTGCCAACTCTGAATGAGTTACTCGCTCGAGGGGACCTCGCTCTTGAGAGGGGGGTAATGTAATGACCCGCCAAAAACACAGACTGAGAACACTGCTGATTTCTAGGATTTGCCGTTGGAATGAATGCCTTGCTGAAATTCCTGCATTCTGCTGTGATTTCCATGTCTGTGTGTGTGCGTGCCTGCTGGTTTGCATGCCTGTCTGAGTGCTTGTCGGTTGAGTGTGTGTATGACCCGCAAGGGTACTTGTTGGTTGAAGGGCCCCGCAGGGCCGGTACTTACCTGTGGCCTTGACTTTGAGGGTTGCAGGGGGGAAAACACTCAAGTAGCGGGGGTAGGCCTGCAACACTTAGAACAGCGGGGAAAAACACTCAAGTAGCAGGTAGGCTGGTGCCACTCAAGTAGTGGTAGGGGTGTCGGGTACTGGAGGCCGAGCAGAAGAAGACAAAAAGTTGGCATTTTTAGTGGCCCAGTAGCGGTAGGATAGCGGTAGGCCGGTACCAGTCCAAGTAGCCCGGGTCTAGGGCCTGTACGGAGGATAGCAGACCCTGCAATGATGTTTCCCTCCGAAAGGGAGGAGGTGCCGGTTGCTGGGAGGCCGCTTGGCCTAGGAAGTCACCGCCCAGGAGGCCGGTAGGCCGCTATATCTCCAGGAAGAGCAAAGAGCTCTTCCTCATTTGCGGTGTGCAAGGATTGGCGACATGCTGCCGGAGCGCAGTGCTGGTCTGGTGCAGCGCTGCTTGGAGGTGAAGGACCGCTGGAGCTCAGCCTGGCTATGGCGAACAGTCCAGCTTGAGGAGGAGGAAGAAGGGGGCATGGTAGGAGAGTGGCGGGGCACTTACCTGGCTATGGTAGACACCATCCTCATCACCTTGTTGGGCGCTGCATCTGGAAGGCCCCAGTTGGGGTAGTGCGGCACCAAGGAAGCTCGAGGCAGAGTCAGGCATGGGGGACCAGTCAGCAGCGGCATAGCTGCTTTGTGTTGTCCTTTGGACATCAACGCAGCACCATAGCTGCTTTGGGTTGTCCTTTGGACATCAGGGCAAGGCCCTCATTAGTCCACCATAGCCTATGCATGAGAGAGGAGGCTGAAGGAGGGAAGCCATAGCTATGGTGGCCTGGTTGTTGTTGTTATTGTTGTTGAGTTGAGTCAGCAGTAAGAGGGAACTTCGGATATTGATTCTGGTTCATCCATTCATTGTTATTATTATTATTGAGAGAAGAATAAGATTGGTGAAGTGAAGGAGGAGGAGGAAGGTGGAGAGAGAAGGGGGAATTGTCATTGGTCTTGCTGGTGCACATCTTCTTCTTCTTCGTCGTCGTCTTCGTCTTCTTCTTCTTCTTCTTCTTCTTCTTTACCTCTCCTCTGGTCTCTATCTCTTTGCAAGTGCTTTCATTTCTTTCGCAATTGGGTGGCATTGTCTTTCATTGTGAATCTGCACTTGGGAAATGACCAGGATTGTAACACCTTGTAAACCAGCGATCTTCACTTGGATCCAGATAAGCGAATCTCACCTTATACTGCCGCTGTGGTCTGCCTCTACGTCCTGGCTGAAAGGTACTTTCAGCAACAATCTTATCCACGTCGTATTTCCCATCCATACTAGGAGGTATTGCCGATCTGCGACTGGGAAACAACTCATTTGTTACGCAAGGTTAGAGTTTCGAAGCGTGGAATACTGAATATGTATGTAGATGTAGAGGAATCTCTATAACATATGAAGGGCCATCCACATCGCCAATTACATCTAGAACCTGCCAAGGTCCTCTATAGGCGGGGAGTAACTTTTGAGAGATGTTCTCTTCAGGAACAAACTCTTTAGACTTAACCCACACTAGATCACCTACAGCAAACTGTGAAGGTCTTCTATGCTTATTTGCTTGTTCAATCATTTGATGTTGTGCTTTCATTATATTTCGTTTTACCTTTTCAATGTCTTCCTGATATTGAATAGCAAATTCACTAGTTCCTAGTGGAAGCTTATGTACTTTATTCGGGTTTAGTCGATCAATAGGCCTGCGTGGACGCTGCAACGCCATCCCAGATACTTTATTCGGGTTTAGCAAATGAACAGAGTTATTGTAAGCTCTAGCAACTTTGGGCAAATGTTCGTCCCAATCAATCTGGTCGGGACGAATATACATGCGCAGCGTTTGCTGGAAAATCTTGTTCATTTGCTCAGTCAGGCCATCAGTCTCAGGATGTCTACCTGAGCACATAGTTAATTTAGAGCCATAGACATTCATTAGTTGCTGCCATTGTTCACTTGTGAACCGTGTGTCTTTGTCACTCACAATTGTCAAGGGATGCCCATAGTCTTTCACCCAATGGTTAAAGAACTCCCGGATTACCAGTTCTGTTTTTGCTTCCGCTGGTAAAGCTACGAAAACAACATACTTACTGAATTTGTCGACAATGACCATGACTTGTGTCTTTCCATTCCTGCTTTTTTTCTTGGTGTCCATAAAGTCAATGGACACAAAGTCTTCTGGACCTGTTGGAATAGGCAAAAGCTTAAGTAAACCAAGGGGAGGCTGTGTGGTGCTCTTATTTCTTTGGCACACTTGACAGCCCTGCACATACGCAATGCAATCTGGTTTCATGCGAGGCCAGGTGTAGGAACGCAAAAGGTTTGCGTAAGTCTTCCTTCACCCAAAATGGCCCTCGGTGTCATGACATTCCCCCTAGGATCAAACTCTTGATCTCTTCTACATTTGGAATACAAAGCCTGTCATGCACATCAGTCCTTTCAAACAATAGTCCTTGTGTAAGACGATAGTTGTAAGCATAGTGCCATAGACAGGATCAGTGGAATATGCATTTTGATCTCTGTTGGCGCTTCTTGTACACGCTTAAGCATAGTGCCATAGACAGGATCAGTGGAATATGCATTTCTTTTTTTTTCTTGCAAATCGGTGCCCACATCTAAGTATGTTGTAATGGCACCAAAGAAATCTGATCTTCGACTTAATGCGTCGGCGACAACATTATATTTACCCTTAACTGGCTTTAGCTCAAAGTCATATTGATCAATCTCAGCGGCCCACCTTGTCAATTTGGGTGTCATCCGGGCCTGTGTTTTAAGCCAACGAAGTGTTTCATGATCCAAATATACCTTGAAGTGGCGTTTCAAGAGATAGTGTCGCCAGTGATCCAAAGCTTCCCGAAGAGCATACAACTTTCAAAACCGGCGACTGTCTCGTTAGGCAGTCGTCGGGACATAAATTCGGCAGGTGTGTATCCATTCCCGTCATCTTGCTGGA